AGTTGTATTTTAATTTTTTTAAAATACCCTTGTTCAATGTAAGTTGTTGTTACTATAAACTTACCCCATTTAACGAGAGTTTATTCTTTTTTTACCATCAATTCAAGTTCCCATAAAGTTGTACTCTAATTAATGTGAGGGTATTTTAGGAAAATAGCTACCTAAATTGATTGTTTCAACAAAGTTAACTACTTTTTCTTAAACTGTGTGAAAAAAGAACCAAGATTATCAAAGTGGGACGGAGGGAGTATTTGTTTTTCCTTGATCCTTGTACAGATGCTAGTTAATATGTTGACTTCTGTCTTCTACAAGGAAAAATTGTTTGTGGAGTGGGCGAGTACTTGATAATGTTTTTGTAGTTGTTGCCTCATTTTTTTGGTGTTAATCAAGGTTAATATATGAGAAAACTGATGTAGTTCCTTCCTGCTAACTCTTACACTGTAGATGTTAGCAAAGATATATACATTAACTCTTTTTTGCTGAAATTTGAAAGGATGAATGGTTGGACAATGATGCTCATAACAGATGTGAAATTTTTTCTTCCCTGAATTTGCACATCTGAAGGAGCATACTTAAACATGTTGACCTTGCTTTTTTTGACTTGACATCCACCATCCACCTGTTCTGTGTGCCAATAGTATGTTCTCCTGAAAGTGCAAGTTATTTACAATCACAAACCCGCAAGATTTTTTGGCCTGAGAATTTCTATTTGCCTCACTATCTCCAACAAAAGTATGGCTGCATTTCCTGGAAAGAAATCGAGCATTCATGGAGATAGCGATGAGGAAGATCCTGTTCAGCGTGCTGAACTTTCTGCTAAAACTAAGAAAGTTAGGGATGTCCAAGATGAGCTGAAGAACGTTTTTGGATCCCCCTGACATACATCAATACATGTATTTATGCATGCATAATCGTGTCTTGGATTGGATCCTTTTGCCTTTCCATCAGGTCTTCTTTATCATATTATGATCTGTTAGACAGGCTGTTGAATTATTTCATTCTGTGTAGATTTTTGTAAGTAGATATATTTATGTAGACATACAAAGATGGGAATTGTTTATACATGTAGCCAGTTAGTTTGATCTTGATATGATGTATGTGGACCTGGAAATTTTCTGGCAAGTATATATGCTGATATGGTAAAGAATTGACACCCAGGAATTAGGAAAGATGGCTAAATAAATAAGGGAGACAGAAAAAAACAAAAGTTGATTAGACACTTCCAGATGAATTCTTCTCTTAATTCTTTCCTGCCTGGGATTCTTTGCGCGGAAGTGGGGCTTGACTAAAAGACTTATTCTTTGCAGGTAAATGAAGATGCCAGTGACAAAGTACTGGAAATTGAACAGAAGTACAATGAATTACGGAGGCCTGTTTATGTCCGAAGAAGCGAGATCATAAAGACAATTCCTGACTTTTGGTTGACTGCTGTGAGTTACAAAGCCATCCCTTTTCTAATTTCAATGAAGTTGAAACTTATTAGGGGATCCTTTTAGTTATTTATTTTTTATTAATTTACTTTTTCCTGCAGTTTTTGAGTCATCCAGCGCTTGGTGATCTGTTGAATGAGGAGGATCAGAAGGTATGCAACGTGCTTAGAAATTTAGTGGATTGGAAATTTTTGGTTGGGAGTCCAAAGGATTTTCCTTTCAGTTTACCTTTTGACTTGGTCTGATTAGTTTGCCATTCAATTTACCCTCCTGATATAAGCATAGGAGGATAAATTTATTTTTTCTTGACCATCTTTAGTGAATGTTAGCCACTGATTATTTGGTTGTACATTTATTTCTTATGCAGATTTTCAAATATTTGGATTCGCTTGATGTGGAGGATTTTAAGGATGTGAAATCGGGTTACTCAATTACATTTGTGTGTTTCTTCTTTTACTCGTGAAACTTTCATCCTTCAGAAAAACAAATGGACAATTGACATTGCAGGCTGGTTATTGATCTATGTATTGTACTTGTATTCTTACCTGAAATCTTGCTTTTGATCTTCAGAATTTCAAGCAAAACCCATATTTTGAAGATACGAAGCTGACAAAGACATTTATCTTCTTAGATGAAGGAACAACAAGGATAATTGGTACAGCTATCAAGTGGAAGGAAGGCATGGTAATAATTTGAATATATATTCCTTCTTGGGCAGTTTGAATCCTTTATTGTATATAATTTTGAATTCTACAACTTCAAAAAATTGAAGGGGGCTGCAAATGGAGGCAGTCATGAAAAGAAAGGAAATAAACGACCAGCATCTGATGACAGGTATTTTCTGCTAATTAATGCATTTCTATTCAGATTTTTCCCTAGACTCTATATCAGATGATTGGCTTTTTGGACATGGAAAATAAATACGCTTTGTGATGTTAGCATCTTCAACTTATAGATGACCACATGGAGCTAAGGATAATAATTATCCAACTGTTAGGAATTTAGGGAGATGTTAACGTCATTGTTGCATGCATGTTTTAGATTGTAAAAGTTGTTTAATGTATAGTAGATACATATTGAGCTCCAACTGCTGATTATGCTTTTCATTGACCATGGTGTTGACTGACATTTTAGCTTGAATAGCTATGCTTAGTATTCTAGCTGAGCATTGACCAAGTGAAAATCTCTTCTTTAGAAACTGCAACTCAAGTCCGGACTATATTTTAAGTCCAATTGTGATTGTGAAGAGGAAAATCTTCATGGTCTTCCAATTGTTAAGCACATGCAAATCTGCATATATGCTTCTCACCTTTATCTTGTTGTGACCATCTGATGAATTGATGTCACTTACCTGTTGAAAGCTATAAGTTATCTACTAAAGGTCCTGTATGTTTCCCTTAAACTGAAAGTATGATCTAGAGTTCACCATTTTTTTTTTTTTTGGGCATTGTCAATGCAGCTTCTTTAGTTGGTTTTCTGAAACACAACAAAAAGATACGCTTGAGGTAGAGGGGCTTAATGATGAGGTAATTACTTGTTGAATTTATGAAGCCTTTTCACATTCATTCTCCATACAATTATAAGAACTTTATTAGCTATTTTTGTTTGTGGTAAAATGTAGTAATATATATGGTTGACACTTTTGGCTGGCTTTCAAGTTGTTACTTCTAATGATCACTTTATTGTGATCTTTGTAGCTCTAGATGAATAAAGAAGTATGGTTTCTTCCCTGTTCTCATTCTATCTGTCATCTACTTTAAACATGCAGGTGGCAGAGATAATTAAGGAGGATTTATGGCCAAACCCTCTGAAATATTTCAACAATGTAAAATCCATTTTGACTGTTCCTTTTTTCTGATTTATAGCTCTTTCTCCTTGCTTACAGAATTCATATTTTGATTTGATAGGAAGCTGATGAAGAGGATTCCGAGGGAGAAGAGGATGATGAAGAGGTATAAATCAACGCTTTTGCTTTTTTACATTTTGTGGAACCCATGGAAACAGGCAGGCACTTTAGAACCTAGAAAAGCTTCTCATTTACTAACTCATGCACCCTCTCTCCTGGATTTGACTAAATTTTAGTCCCCCAGTTCCAATTTTATCAGTACCATAACTTCTATGGATATTCATCCAAGAGTTGAGATTTGTTTCTTGAGTTGGTGATCATTTAGTTACGAACTCAGAGGACCAGGTTGACATATAACACCAATCTGCTTTCTTTAGTTTTCACTTTCTTTTATAATAAGCTGCCAATATCCATATCAAAGGCCACTTTTCTGTTATTTGATGTTGTCATATGGATGGTTACCAATTTACTTGTACCTTCATGACTTCTCTTCACTTTTTTGTTCCAATTCTGACATCTGTTGTGTTTTGTAAGAAGTACATGCTAAGTAGTAAATAAGAAACAGATTTAAGTCTCTTGGGTCTTATCTTTGAAAGCAGAGGTCAGATAACTCTGGCTATGGTGGCAATACAGAAGTAGGAGAAGTTCTGGTGTTTCACTTCCTGTTAGCTCTGTTTCGTGGTATTTGGTGCATGGACTCCTTCTTGTTTTTGAGCTGTAAATATTGGCTTCTGTGCTATTTGTCAACTGCTACAACTGCTTGTAACATTTTTCTATAATCTGTTACAATTTAGTTCATTTTTTACGGCAAATGATATTGGCACTCCAAGATAAGCTCCTTGCACCCTATCTTCGCTTATCAGTTAATGAAATGACACAAAAAACCTATAAATTATTTAAAGAGACGAAATTGCCCCTCTATGCATTTACTATGCCTTTGGGGGCAATTTTGTTATTCAAATAGTCAAGGATTCTAGGTTATGGGTCTTTTTGTCACTTTAAACGAAAATGAGCAAGTGTGGAGTGCCTAGAGTGCAAATATCATTTGCCTTTTTATTTCCTTTCCTTTACTGCCCGCGTCTAATGTCTATTTCCTCATCTTTAATTAAGGGAAAAGGTGATGATGATGAGGAAGATGATGATGAGGATGGCAACGAGGAGGATGACACTTGATAGTTATTTTTGCATCTCTCTTTTGTTGGTATTTTGCAAATTTGTAATGGCAAGCACAAATTTCAGTTATTTCCGACTAATCACTTGGGAAAATTTTTATTACTGTAGCTGCACGTACCTCCTGCAGAGTTCTCTCTTCTGCTATGAAGAGATTTACACAAGTGTAGTCATGGCCTTAGTTATTATATGCAAATGTTCTGTTTAAGGTTTCTTAACTTATATCCAGGGTCAAAAACACCAAGGGTAGAGGTCCGGTGGCCTTCCTGAAATACCTAGAAGGGTACCAATTTGATCGGATGTGATGTCTCATGAACACGATTCCATTCTATTATGTGGTCTAAATATCCAGTCCGATATCGGATCGATTAGATGGGTAAATAGGAAAATATTACTGTAGCACCTTTATTCGTGATTTAAATTAAAGAAGAAAAATGGTTGGGCAGTGTGTGTGTAGGAAGTTTTACCCCAAAAAAAAAAATTGGAAATCCGCCTTCGAAATGGAGATGGCGCCGAGTAAAACAGAAAAATGCAGCAATAAAGAAATCCCTCTGTGTGTAATGAAGAGATATTCGCGGAAATTATAGAGCAAGTTATACATGTATTAGATATGTAGCAAACTCAAAAGGTCTCTACAACTTTGGGAGGCTCCTAACTCCCAAAAGATATGGCTGCGATCCCTTTGCGTACAGATCATGGAATTAGAATTACAAAAGATTATACTTCACACCTAAGGAGAAAATAAGGATTGAAACCTTCCCAGTCGGAAGAATTTCCTATCAAGCTTTTGTTCATATCACTAGCAGTTGCGCCGACCATTTTCTCATGTGAATCAATCACTAACAAATATAGGTTGCATATCATCGGGTTTCTAAGAAATGGACGCAGAGTCCTGCCAAGCACAGAAACTTCATCTAGCATGGACTTGCTCCTCTCTTTCTCCCCCTCAAAGATACAATTTGACAGGGCAAAGAAGGCTAGTAAATTTCCATACAAGGGTAAAAATGCATCCTTATGGTTACCGGCGCCACCAATCCAATCAACTTCCCGTCGGCCAATAGAGTCATTGGCAAATGATGTCAAGTAGTGGCAAAATCTCCTCCTCCAACCACGTAAAAGGTCCCTTACCCTGTGATTGTCAGAGGAGTTAGCTGCCCAAGATTTAGAAATTGGAAGCTTCTCCAAGTGAGAGCAACAAATCTGACAGATCAATAGCTTTTCTTCATGATGGTTATCAATCTCCTTGTCAAAAACACGTCTCACAAGGTCTCCTCTTGGCACAACACTGACCACAGAGTTTACAGCATTAAAAACATAATTGCAGAGACTATCAAAGTAGTCAATCCAGTGACCAAAGATTGAAGAGAGATGGTCAAAACTCATCTCAATAACCTTCTCCACTTGGCTGGGAACCAGTTCAACATTTTGACACGTTGTGGATGTAACACTCTTCTGAACATCAAGGGCAAGCTTCCTTCTGAGTTCCACATCTTCATCCTCCAAAAGTCTTACGCATGTCAACCATAGATTCAGAATCTTATGGCCATATATGTTCACAACCTCCTCTACTTTGAATTCTGAACTAGGATTTTCGCCTGGAATGCTGTTACTGAAGGCTAAAGAACCAACTATCTTTGCATGATCAAGTAAACCAGATGCAACTATTGATTCTGCAGCTGCGTTCCGCATATTTACAGGCTCTGATGCAGAACTGTGTAGTTGTATTAGTTCAACAAAATAATTGATGCAATCGTAAAACTTGGAGAGTCTCCCATCAAGATCATATCGGCTGGATATGGCTATCTCTTCCTTCTTCATGTTAGAGCAAACAAAGCTTGAGAATATGCTAGCAAACTGCTTTACACATATCCCCATGCAGCAGATGAGCACTTGTCGATTCTTTGAATGTCTAGTGACCTTGTACATGGACACTAACTTGTCCCAAAACCACCACAATGAACTGCGATCCACACCAATTGATCCAAGGCTGACATCTAGTTCACCCTTTTCTTCACATTCCAACATGTTCCACATGTAGATAATTTTAAGAATGTAATATGTGCATTTATGGTTATTCTCGGTCGCTAGAAGCTCCACTAGTTTTTTCTGGAGATCAATATTGTACAACAAATATGTCTTGATCTCATGAGAAGATGAATTGCCTCCTTCAATTTTTAATCCTGCTGATTTCAGAAATAAAACTAGCCACTTGAAAGTTGCAAGACGAACTTCGTATGATGTGTCAGACATGCAGCCTCTCAGCCTTTCCTGAAATCTTGAGAGAGCACTGTCCAAATCAGATACTCTTAACAAACTTGAAGCAGTTGAGGAACATGTTCCAGGCATCAAAATATCCTCTTCAGCAATTTCCTTAGACGTTTTGTATAAGCAATTGAAATATGACACTGCTGCTTGTTTGCGAAGTTCTACAATAGTTGGATCATGATATGACAATTTCTGAGGTTCTTCTAAATCCAAAAATTCTGAAGATAACTCCCATACGAGGTTCCAAATAGCAGCAATACTTCTGCTCATTTGACACGTTGTTGCAATACTGAGCATGTTATCCAGTACCCCAAGAAAGCAGCTATTCAGGATAGGGCAAGGGCAGAGTTGAAACTTACCAATCCATGAACGTATTGCAAGAATTTCAATCAGATCCTTCAGAATTGCATCTTTTTTGGAGGAATCAGCAAGGCATCTACAATTGTTATCGAGAAGCGTGTTCAACTGCAGCAGCATCCCATGAAGTGAATTAAAAGTATGGCAAGTACCATTTTGTGTGTCAATTGAGTTGGATGCATCAGAAGAGACATTCCTTGTGCAAGGTAACTCAGAGGCAATATTAAGCAGCACAATGGGCAATTTCTCATTCGATATCAGGCCCGTTAGAGCTCTGGAAGCAAGAATTCGGATACGGAAATTGCTTTGGACAGAGCACTTCCTGATGAATGGCAAGAATATGAAAGGGTCCAAACTGTCCCCAGCTTCACTTGTAACTGCTGAAGGTTTTAGCCGTGACAACAGAATCAGAATTGGGCACAAGCTTGGGTGCACAAGTTTTGCCAAATTAGATCCTTGTTGTCCAGAAGACCCATCCAAAAGCGACTCTGTTGCAATTTTAAGTTCATGAAATAGGAAAGAGTGCAGTGTAGGGTACCTGTAACAAAAAGCAAGCAATTAATGAGATATCTTAGGACATTGTAAGCAATTGTGTACAATCATATAGTCTTGATAATGGAACTGCAAAAATAGATTGCAATAATGGTTCAAGCTTGCGAAATTCTTTTTTGACTTTAATCTGCAACTCTTCAAAATAGGAAGAATTTAAAGATCAGTTAGCAGAACCAAAAATAAAAAGAGATAAAAAATCTATGGACCCTAGTAATGTAATTGGAATGCTCCAAATTAACTAAAAGGATGAAAGAAATACTCAAGACTTGTTCCAGCACTCACGCATCCACATGTAAAAGGTATAGGCACTAGATTAGCAATGCCAAATTCTAGTAATGGAAGAGAAGACATTAAAACCAGAAGGAACTAGGGATGCAAAAGTTCTATGCTGGAAATATCAACTAATTAACTTGTGAATGATAAAGGAAGATGCAATATGCAACATAAGAACCAACTGTTTCAAAAAAAACATGATTAAGACCGTGCTTTCATGTAATTGCATTAATCACTCTCTCTGTCTATCCTGGTTAACAATGCCAGCCAGAAGTATTTCAGAATACCACTTCTACCACTCAAAGCTCATGACTGTTTCAAGAATTTGATTTCAAAAATCAAGTTTCAGCAAAGGACTCATCTAACTCAGCAGATTGTATCCCCCAGTTTCCCTTGCCAACTACCCAAAACCAATCCCCACCCCCAAAAAGACGCACCAACTAGCCAAACAGAAAAACAGAAGTTACTGAAAACAACATGTTGCTAATTCAACACACTCCTTTCCCTGTCGACATCCGTAGGATCAGCATAAAATTAGGCAAAGAATGCAGGTATAATATTCCCACGAAATGGTAAGAGTATATACATTACTGCAATATCAAAAATCAAGTTTTTGACCAAGTTGCACACACAAAACATGCTTCTCTCCTGCACATACACAACTGCTAAGCAATTCCACTGGGTGACCAAAAAAACCATGCACATCATGGTTGATCATACAGTAATACACATAGGAAAAACTTTGACACCTTCACTTTTCCTCCATTGTGATATGAAGCATTTCAAAGATAACTATCAAACATGAAAAGATATACAAAGGATAACACAGAGTTTATTCAGATTCACAAGTATGTTGTTGAAATGAGTCTTGATTACACTTTTCAAGAGAAAATGTACCAAGACCACAAATTTAGTAGATAATCTAGCTGCTGGTTTCAACATGTAGACACAAAAGATTCGAAGGAGGCAGAAAAAAGTGTAACAGGACACATGAAGGCATAAAAGTCAAATTTTCAAAGCATACCTGTGAAAAAATTCAAGCCCTGTTAGAGCACGCCTTTCTGATTCTCGTTTCTGTACATTAAGGAATCCAATCATGCGACGAATCAAAGCACTATATGCAAGACAGGCACTATTCCGCACCTCCCAGTACGGCGAAGAGAAAGAGCGTATGGAATAAATCAAAGCCTCGGCTGAAAAGCCTGATGTATCAGTTGCCAGGTTGCTATCATTAAAAGCGGCTCTAAGGACATTGAATGCATGGACAGTTGGGACAACACCCTCATCCCGGATCTTTGAGATTTTCTCTTTTGCATCCATCCCAAGGGGCATAACGAATTGACCAACTTGACTTGAATTTGTCAAAAGGGCATCAGCTGAGTCATTAGTGCAGTTGCTTGCTTTAGTCTGTTCCAGTAAAGACTTGTTGGCTACATCTAACAGCCATCGCAGTGCCCTTGGCAGAAGTCTCTTTGGGGAACCCTCGGGCTCTGCAAGGAAGATAGCAGTAAATGCAGCTGGAATACCAGCACTTCTCCGCAGTAGGTCATCTACAGTTTGTCCCTTTGTCACTGTTCTTTCCATAAGTTGTTCCATCCAGGATTCTGTTAATTTGCAAAGTCTGTGACAAGAGAAGCAACATTATGCAATAGACTCAAAATGACCAACTTAAAGGATCCAAAAGTTGGCATAGGGGCAGAAACTTAAGACTGCTATTACAAGTAAATCCTATGCTGTTAAATCTCCATTAAGGTTGTCGTGAAGAAACAGCTTAAACAGCTTCCAACTCACATTTCAAACTTGAAAAAGTTAAGTTTTTTAACTTGTCAAACAAACAGGCAAGTTAAAAGCAAAGAAACAAGGAAGATCTTACAGATGCCAGTCATAGGTAGACAAGTAACAGACTAATAATCAGCCCTCTAGCCAAATAAAAGACCAAGTTTGTGGTAATTGTTACTGTGCCTAGGAACAAGATTAGGAATGTATAGCTAGCTGTGTACATTGAATGGCAAAACATTCAAAAAATAAAGGCACTCAAAAATATGCAATGGATATTAGCCTTGACAATAAGTAGCATCAAATACAGAAACACAACCTAAAGTTCGAAACTACTATACTAATGTATTTGTTCTGGCAAATGTCCTATACAAAACTGATTAAGGAAAACATATTATTTGATGGTCATAGATTTTTATTAACACTTACTTACCTCTATATCTTAATTAGCAAAGAAGCATGCATTAATTCTCAGTTCACAAGGAGTTCATTGACATTGAGAACAATTTTCCACAGGAGAGAGATAACTAATACTAAGCAGAATGGTCAACAAAAACCAAATAGTTCAATAAGGATGAGAACTCTTCAACCAAATTCGGCTTTTTAATTCATTTCATATTTCCACCATATTCCCTAGAATCAAAGTATTACAAAAGTAGCTCACAAGATGCCATGGGTTGTAGCAGTTAACAAAGAAAAATGACTCTTCTTGACATAATTAAACATGACACCACAAAGATTGATAACCGCAAAATACTTAGGAGAGCTCAATGAGCAAACCTCGGATTGTTCGAACAAAGTAAACGATTGCAAAGAGCAGTGAATCCAGCCCTTGTTTTATCAATTGCACCATTATGCTTCATTTTCAGAAGGACTTCCAAAAAGTGGCTTCCAATTGTCTCAAGTTGCTTCATATCAAGCACCCCATCAGACACTGATACATAATCACCATTGCCATCAAAAGCATTAGACTTTGATGCATCCACAGTAGGCAAAGGAATTTTCCGTATTATAGTTCCCAAAAGAAGACTTACCTGAAACAGCAAAATATATAGATAAGTGTTCTTATAGTCATTTATTTAAGGGTTATTATCACTTTACCCCCTTAACGTTTGGTGCCACTATCACTTTCCCCTTTAATGTTATCTTTTAGTCACTTTACCCCCAAAACTAACGGTCAAACTTAACGGAGTTTGTTAATTAAAGTGAAAAGACATGTTTAACCCTTAAAATTATTATTACCTTATCCCCATAAAATATAGTCTCATTATCAATTTACCCCTACAGTCATTGTTTAGGCAATTTATCCTACCATTAAACCAACTTAGCAAATTAAAAAACTTTAGAAGAAAATACCCTCCTCTTCGCATAATAAAAATAATAAAAAATTTAGAGTGACTCTTCTCCTTTTTAGTATCAAGAAAAAAGGTCAAACTATTAATTTCTTTCTTCTTGACAATCTTATTAATATTGAAAAAAAAATAGAAAGATGGAGAGGGGGAGAGGGAGAGAGAGAGAGAGAGAGCTCAATTCTTGTTTTAAAAATTACAAATAAGAAAGAATTAAATACTTTTATTATTTTAAAATTAGTTCACTTTTTTGTTTACTGCCAAATTCCAATCCTAATTTCGACAACTTTAAAGTAATACAATAATGTTAGACTTTTCTTTATTTTCTTTTTTTGCAAAATCTAATTTTTTGTCTCCTTCTTTCCTATCTCTTTTTATTTTTCTAGTATTAATAAATGTGAAAAAAAGAAATTTGAGAAAACCCTTTTTATTTTTATGTTTTTCAATCTCTTAAAGTGAAAAAAAAGGAAGAATAACCATTCCAACTTTTTTATTTTTAAGTATATATAAAAAAAGGTTACTATATTTAAAAAATTTTCACCATACTAGTTAGATAACGATGAGGTAAAATGCCTACAAAATAATGTTAGGAACTAAAGTGATTGTATCACTATAATCTAAACAAATAAAGTGTTAATAATAATGTAGTAATGCTATAAAATAAAAGGGTATTTTTGTCCAAAATTTGAATTACTTATAGGGGTAAAGTAACTAAAAGATAATGTTAGGGGGTAAACTGATAGTAGTGATATAGTTTAAGGGGGTAAAGTGATAATAACCCTTTATTTATTGGGCATCTAACTATTCCAACTATAAAAATGGCAAAGTTTAGTCCTACCCCTTCTTTCCCAGAGTCAATGTTGAAGTAGATCTATTAAAGATTATTATGAAATATATAGACAAGAAAAGTTTTTCTGGTCATCTATTTATTGAGCATCTAGGTATTCCAATTATAGAAATGGCAAAGTTTAATTCTACCCCTTCTTTCCCACACTCAGTGTTGAAGTAGACCTATTGATTACTACTATGGAGATTCTATGACGCTTATTTGATAACCTTACATCAAAATAAGAACGAGTATCAGCAACAACAAGGGCAGTGACATTGCCAGTTTTATATGCATTTCCAGAACAAACAATATCAATGCAGAGAAAACTCCGAAAATACCTCTTTCATAGCAAGCCAGCAACCAACCATAACAATCTGTTCTGATGACCTGGCATCTTGCACAAGCTTCTCATTCTCCATCACATTTTCCACTGCAACCTTAGACATAACTTCCTTGTCAAAACGATCATCATCCACCATGTCCTCCATGTCTTCTGGCAAATGCCATGCATCTGCTGAGACTACCCATAGGGCGAGAGAGGTTATTCGCATAATTAATTCCAATAGCTTCTCCAATACAAGTTTCATCTCAGCAATACAGCACAAAACGGCTGTGGAATTCCAATCCAGTTCCTCAAATGTATATCGAAGAGTAAGCAGGACACCATGAACAAAGCTTTTCTTGCATGCTTCTGAAAGATCCTTCTCACCATCTTCCACAGTAATGAGCAACCAATCAACCAGCGACCTCACATATTCTACTGCAGGCGAGCGATGTGTAAGAATTTCAAGCCTGCGATCTGGCAGCTCTACCTGGCCATGACAAGAGACAAAATCAAGTGACAATTGAACACTCCAATTAAGCTCCAAGACATACTTTCTAAATATAAGACGTAAAGTCAGAGCTCCAGCATCACATTCTCTCACACGTGGACTGCAGACTAGCTTCTTTGCCCATATAATTGCTACTCGGATCTCATCTGGACTACAAATGCCAGGAAGCGGGGTAGGAAAATGCAGTAGAATACGAAACGAATTCTCTCTCAAACGATCCCAGCTATCAATAATCGATCCAACCAGTAGCAAGGCTGAATCAGCTAAAATAAAGCCCTTACTGTAAGGATACAGACTTGTTTCAGAAGAAAGAGCACAATGATTTTCTTTTGATGGTGGCATGACAGACCAGACATTCAACATTACCAATATAAGCTCCATGGCCATTATCTTCCTCTCATAAGGAGCAGAAGGGTAGCAAGAGAAGAAAAAAAAGTAACTCAACCACTTCATTAGATTAAACAGATCATCTGCCATTTCTACTACTATTTCTCTGGTTCCATTTCTGGATGCAACTCCAACGTTAGCTTCTGACCCATAAGGATACCAGTTTCCCTGCTTGTATTGTCTCTCCAAGGCAGTTCGAACACGAGAGAAAAACTTCCTAAACATACTGGTCCATTTCATCTGAAAAGCAGTAGAACAACATCTCATATTCAATGGCACAGCTTCCTTCAGCAGGCTAAGCTCCAAAGAGGATGGAAGGCTTGCTGTCTTTGGGTTTAAGAAAAGAAATTCTGCTGCCATCCAGGATTCTGTTAATTTGCAAAGTCTGTGACAAGAGAAGCAACATTATGCAATAGACTCAAAATGACCAACTTAAAGGATCCAAAAGTTGGCATAGGGGCAGAAACTTAAGACTGCTATTACAAGTAAATCCTATGCTGTTAAATCTCCATTAAGGTTGTCGTGAAGAAACAGCTTAAACAGCTTCCAACTCACATTTCAAACTTGAAAAAGTTAAGTTTTTTAACTTGTCAAACAAACAGGCAAGTTAAAAGCAAAGAAACAAGGAAGATCTTACAGATGCCAGTCATAGGTAGACAAGTAACAGACTAATAATCAGCCCTCTAGCCAAATAAAAGACAGTTTGTGGTAATTGTTACTGTGCCTAGGAACAAGATTAGGAATGTATAGCTAGCTGTGTACATTGAATGGCAAAACATTCAAAAAATAAAGGCACTCAAAAATATGCAATGGATATTAGCCTTGACAATAAGTAGCATCAAATACAGAAACACAACCTAAAGTTCGAAACTACTATACTAATGTATTTGTTCTGGCAAATGTCCTATACAAAACTGATTAAGGAAAACATATTATTTGATGGTCATAGATTTTATTAACACTTACTTACCTCTATATCTTAATTAGCAAGAAGCATGCATTAATTCTCAGTTCACAAGGAGTTCATTGACATTGAGAACAATTTTCCACAGGAGAGAGATAATAATACTAAGCAGAATGGTCAACAAAAACCAAATAGTTCAATAAGGATGAGAACTCTTCAACCAAATTCGGCTTTTTAATTCATTTCATATTTCCACCATATTCCCTAATCAAAGTATTACAAAAGTAGCTCACAAGATGCCATGGGTTGTAGCAGTTAACAAAGAAAAATGACTCTTCTTGACATAATTAAACATGACACCACAAAGATTGATAACCGCAAAATACTTAGGAGAGCTCAATGAGCAAACCTCGGATTGTTCGAACAAAGTAAACGATTGCAAAGAGCAGTGAATCCAGCCCTTGTTTTATCAATTGCACCATTATGCTTCATTTTCAGAAGGACTTCCAAAAAGTGGCTTCCAATTGTCTCAGTTGCTTCATATCAAGCACCCCATCAGACACTGATACATAATCACCATTGCCATCAAAGCATTAGACTTTGATGCATCCACAGTAGGCAAAGGAATTTTCCGTATTATAGTTCCCAAAAGAAGACTTACCTGAAACAGCAAAATATATAGATAAGTGTTCTTATAGTCATTTATTTAAGGGTTATTATCACTTTACCCCTTAACGTTTGGTGCCACTATCACTTTCCCCTTAATGTTATCTTTTAGTCACTTTAACCCCAAACTAACGGTCAAACTTAACGGAGTTTGTTAATTAAAGTGAAAAGACATGTTTAACCTTAAAATTATTATTACCTTATCCCCATAAAATATAGTCTCATTATCAATTTACCCCCTACAGTCATTGTTTAGGCAATTTATCCTACCATTAAACCAACTTAGCAAATTAAAAAACTTTAAAGAAAATACCCTCCTCTTCGCATAATAAAAATAATAAAAATTTAGAGTGACTCTTCTCCTTTTTAGTATCAAGAAAAAAGGTCAAATATTAATTTCTTTCTTCTTGACAATCTTATTAATATTGAAAAAAAAATAGAAAGATGGAAGGGGGAGAGGAGAGAGAGAGAGAGAGAGCTCAATTCTTTTTTAAAAATTACAAATAAGAAAGAATTAAATACTTTTATATATTTTAAAATTAGTTCACTTTTTTGTTTACTGCCAAATTCCAATCCTAATTTCGACAACTTTAAAGTAATACAATAATGTTAGACTTTTCTTTATTTTCTTTTTTTGCAAAATCTAATTTTTTGTCTCCTTCTTTCCTATCTCTTTTTATTTTTCTAGTATTAATAAATGTGAAAAAAAGAAATTTGAGAAAACCCTTTTTATTTTTATGTTTTTCAATCTCTTAAAGTGAAAAAAAAGGAAGAATAACCATTCCAACTTTTTTATTTTTAAGTATATATAAAAAAGGTTACTATATTTAAAAAATTTTCACCATACTAGTTAGATAACGATGAGGTAAAATGCCTACAAAATAATGTTAGGAACTAAAGTGATTGTATCACTATAATCTAAACAAATAAAGTGTTAATAATAATGTAGTAATGCTATAAAATAAAAGGGTATTTTTGTCCAAAATTTGAATTACTTATAGGGGTAAAGTAACTAAAAGATAATGTTAGGGGGTAAACTGATAGTAGTGATATAGTTTAAGGGGTAAAGTGATAATAACCCTTTATTTATTGGGCATCTAACTATTCCAACTATAAAAATGGCAAAGTTTAGTCCTACCCCTTCTTTCCCAGAGTCAATGTTGAAGTAGATCTATTAAAGATTATTATGAAATATATAGACAAGAAAAGTTTTTCTTGGGAGGTCGATGATTTATCAATTGCTATATTAAGTAACTCTGTTTAAAAAATTCAAAAGGGTTCGGTGATGGTTCAATTTTCTTCAAATTATCTTTGGTCTCTTTAGTCCTTTCCCTTCTTTTAAAATGGGTTATACAACAGTTATCTTCTCCAAAAAAAAATACACTAATTAATGAAAAGCATGTCTTTTTGACGAATTAATTTGATGCAACTTGGCTTTGTTTGGATGGAGCATTATTTCAAATAATTATTTGGAATAATACTGTAACAATTTTTTGTAAAATGATGTATGTGAGATAAAAAAGTGATTGAAAATATAAAAAGTTGAATTGAAAAATATATTTATGATGCAAGCGAAAAATTTTTTTAAAAAAATTTACTATCCAAACATGTTATTAAAATTTAATTTGGAGAATTTACAAGTTAAACCATTTCTGTTGACAAGGGTTTTATACATGGACATCATGTCCAATCAAAAACGCATCCCAATAATGCATACAGTGTCGTCAATATTATAGAAAAACTTAATGATTTATTGATGTTATCAAATCACTTCAAATACACAGAGCAAAAGTCGAAAGTTGATATTTACAGGGGCTTGATGAATGCAATTTATTGCAACAATTAAAATTCTCCATAGTGGACAGAATCAACGCTCGAAAAGATTGACCTTGCAAAATTATACGGTGGGCTTCAACTCTATTGAGTCTATTCACATCAACAGGAGAAGAGGCTTGCCGTGCCAAGTGAAATTAATCAATTACTCCTGCACGAAAGAGTCCATCTGATCATCCGAACTGGACTTGGTGTGAAATATGTAAATCATTTTCGTCAAAATTAAACTCATGAAGGAAAAACTTATAAACAAGAAGTTGAGTAGCAAGGCCATCATCGTCAAAGACAATTGAGACAAAGCTTACGTGGTCGGGTTGGACCGCATGTAAGATGAAGGTGGCAGCCACACGCCGTCGCGTGGAAAGGCGACTCCATCCCCCGTTTCTACCGTGCAACTCCGCCAATAATTTGCTTACCCTCTCTCTTTCATTCTCCACTCAACCACAAGGTACGTGTGTGCTGTTTGTCCGATAAAATTAAAACCTACGTTCAACCATTCTTGCATTTTCCTTCTTTGTTTTTTTTTTTTTATCTTTTCCCATGATCCGACGACTTTTAGAAAAAATGTAATTTTTTATATTTGCCGTGTTTATTATCAATTATACTTTAATACTTCTAAAGACTGAAACCTGTTTATAGTAATTACTTATGCATCGGCTGACTTTCCCTATACTTATTTTTTCTGTTACTTAGTTGAAGTTTTTGCTCTTGTTTCTGTTTTCTGCTGCATTATCTTGGTTTTTTTTTTTTGCTTCTGTATTGTTTGGGTTTATAGCAGGTTATAAAAAAAGGTTAAAGGCTATTGAATTGGGTTTAAGTGACCTAGAGACCAGAGTATGGCTTCAGAAACTGCTATTCCAGACGGTGACGAGGGCAATGCAGTCCATAGGTTTGTTTCCTTTAGCACTTTTGTTCTCATTTATGTATGATTTAACTACCTACCCCGTCAAATTTTTTGGGGCAATCATTAGCTTTTTGTATCATGAGTCCTTTTTCCACCTTAGTTCTTGAGTCAGAAATAGCATTGCTTAGTATGATTGGGATGCCTTGACATAGATCTGGGAAAGCTTGTTGAGTTGCACCAGAGAAGGTGCATTTTTACTGTGACAATTGCATTCTATGGAACCGTAAGCATAATATTATGAGGTTCCCCGATATTTATGCAATTGTCATTCAGAATCCAAGTGACTGTTATCTTTCTGCGAGGATGTGGAACCTGTTGACCTCATTTTTGTGGATCTTTCTTGAAACAATTTGCATCAGGCATTCCTCCAGCAAAAAGAAGCAGGGGAAACCTTCTAAAAGAATTCATAAAGCAGAGAGGGAGAAGAAGAAACGTGACCACATGAACGTCCTATTTGTAGAGCTCAGGAAAGCTATTGGTATAATTCTCCTTCCTCCTGTCTTAGGTCTAAATTCTGTAATGTTGTGCTTGGTGTATAGCATAACCGACGTCTTTGATTGTGTTTGGATAGGAGATTATTTGAAATATTATTTGGAATAATTACTGTAGCACTTTTTGTGATGTGACATATGTGAGATAAAAAGATGATTAGGAAGATAAAAATCTGTGTTAGAAATTGTGTTTGTGACGCAAACAAATAATTTGGAGCCAAATACTATTTGGCTATGTTAGTTTCTTCATTACAAACTTACTAGGATTCTCAACTTCCCTTTAATTACAGGTTCCTGTCTTTTTATGCAGAACCAGCTCAGCTGTCCAGTGGAAAGGCCTGCATTGTGAATGATACCATTCGACTGCTTAAGGATCTACTTGCTCAGGTTTACAGTCTCAAAAAGGATAATGCTGCTCTTTTATCCGAATCTCATTATGTGAGCTCCTTCAAACTGAGCTTGCTTTTGCTTAATCTGAAATCCATTTCTATTCACTTTACAGAACTGATGCAATTCGATGACTGAGTTAATCTTGCACGCTTATGAATTTGTATTGCTTTCTTGGTTACTTTTAAGCACCATGATAAATTTTTTGAGCAAAATTTTTTTTTTATTTCTACTGTGTTTGTGAATGGCAACGTGGGGATTCCAGATGGCAATCATATTTGTTTGATGAAGTTAATGTTTCATGATTACCAAACAGGTCGCTGTTGAGAAGAATGAGCTCATTGAAGAAAACTCCGCTCTCAAATCTCAGGTGGAGAAGCTTCAGAGTGAGATCACAGAGAGGACTCAATCCCAGTCGTCAGTGAACTTAAATATTTGGCCTTCACAAAGCCCCATTGCTGCTTCAGAACTGCAAGAAGATAGTTTGAGACTGCCTTCCACTGATCACCAACTACTATCATCTTCGGTTGTTGCTCCCATCTTTGTTGTGCCTTTACATCATGATTCTCCTATTTACCACAAAGGATCCCAAAATGATACAGCGGAAGATTTTCAATGCAATGCTTCTCTCTCCAATGTGAAGAAACCGCGTCCTCGCTATCCATCACCTTCAGATTCATGGCCATCTCAAATACTTGACGAACAGCTAAATGGACGTGAGATTACTCAGTAGTGATAGTGTTAGCTCTGGCACCAGCGGCAGCTGAGATCTGGAACTTAATTAGTAGTGAGTAGCATGTCTCATTGTAAATACTGATGTTTCTTGAATTCTATGTCTGAGACGATCTTTTTGTAAGTTGTAAGCCTGTCTGTAATGGATCTGAATCTTAGTCTGCCATAATAGATGTGTGGAATGCCATGTTTTGTGAGTAAAACTGTACACAATAACAGATGAAAATTCTAGCGAGGTTGATCTTAGATGATCAAAATGTGCACTCAAAACAAAAAATAAAAGGTTAATGATATTGCACCTGGTCTATTCGAGCTGAAGAATTTGGTGGGCGGTAAGCCTAGAGGATTACATGATATTGGGGATATTCTCTGTTAAACTAAGTAATACTGGAAGATAGCTACCCTTTGTTTAAAAAAAAGGTCGTTCCCGTTTTCATTGAATTAAGTAGGACGGTACGAAGTTATCAACAACTAACAGTAGTGACATTTTCACAATTCATGCATAAATATGATATTGAATGAAAATGTAGCTTACCATAGCATGTTTCACATCGATAATGTACAAAAAATATACCTTCTTCGTATCATCTTTTTTTTTTGTTTTTTGGGTGGGATTGAAGACTACTTGTTTATATGAAAATGTTATTTTCATGTTATTTTAGCCTTACCACCACCAAACTCTTCAAGAAATGATCCTTCAAAAAACCTTAAGCGCTCCTTCCCCTCTTTTACATTAGATACAGTGTAAGGAGTGCTTTTGATTTTTTAAGGAGTGCTAATATCATTTCCCTACTCTGAGCTGGAAAAAAGAAATTTATCAAGAACTAGGAGTTGACATTAGATTTGTAGTACTACAATAAAAATATTGTAGTGCTAATATTGTAGTGTCATCTCCTTCCCCTCAGGGGAACAAATGTATTGTTGTGTTCTACACGCCTTTGCTTAATTGTTTACACAGCTAAGATGTATATTGAGACACTAAAAATTAAACATGATCAATATATAGTTTAAAGAAACATGTGCAAACTTGCAAAGGTTACGGTACACAGACGATCCCTTGAAAAAAAAAATGTAGCTTACCATAGCATGTTTCACATCGATAATTTTTTTTTTTTTATTCGAATGAAGACTTTGTTTTGCACAACAAAAAAAATGAAGACTTTGCCTATAAGGGAAAAGTTTATGGGCAAAAGTTTAATGGAAAACCAGAACAAATACATTATGGTTTTCTTACAAGGAAAAAAAAGTGCATTAGTAGTTCACTAGTTAATGTCTCAACAGTTGATTTCGAATTGCATTTATGAGACAAAATATTTTACCATTTCAAAAACCAGATAATAAGATGGGCCAAGCCATGTTGTAGTTTATTCTGATAATTAATAGTTCCTACACTGTTAACAGCCAGTACAAAATTGTATTATTATGGATCGGGCTTGGTGACATGGGCTGCAGCCCAATAGGCCTAAAATAAAATAAGCCAGGAAATCTTTCAGCTTTATGCTAGGGTTTGTGGGATTGGCCTCCGAAGTGAATACTGAAATATATAACGAGGAATCCAACCAATAGCAGAGTTGTCTGGCTGTGTCTTCCTCGGTTTCACTTCCACTGCCACTGACGACGGCGAGCAATCCCCCGGCCCAGTAGCAGCCATGGTTCACGTCAGTTTCTATCGCAACTGTATGATCTCTCACTGTACCGAACTCTCTTTCTTTTTGATCGCGCATGTTATTGATGCGTTTCATAACTGTGATCTGCCCTATGCTTGTATAGCACTTCTCTTAACTAGATCATATCTTGATATATGATACGTATGACCCTTTCTCTCTTATTCTGCGAATTTTTTTGGGTTTTTTTATTTTACTGATGCTGTTCAATGTGGTTCTTGTCTGCATAGCTTTTGAGTGATGCAATTTTTGAGATATTTTTTATTGGATTAATCTTTTCTGCTTAGTTCATTTGGAGTGGATTGTTTTTCAGATTTGTTTAATAGGATACATATTTCTCCCCTCGTATCTTAGATGGGAAGACCTTCAAAAAGCCTCGGCGTCCATATGAGAAGGAGCGTTTGGATGCTGAGTTGAGGCTTGTTGGAGAATATGGACTCAGATGCAAGAGGGAGCTTTGGAGGGTCCAGTATGCATTGAGCCGTATTCGTAATAATGCTAGAATGCTTCTAACTCTTGATGAGAAAGACCCTCGTCGTATCTTTGAGGGTGAAGCCCTCTTGCGCAGGATGAACAGGTATGGACTTTTGGAAGAGAGTCAAAACAAGCTCGATTATGTCTTGGCTCTGACTGTGGAGAACTTTCTTGAACGCCGCCTGCAAACACTCGTCTTCAAGACAGGCATGGCCAAGTCAATTCACCATGCTCGCGTGCTCATTAGACAGAGGCACATCAGGTATATACACAGCTCACGAGTACTTCGTCAAATTGGATAAGTGTGTTTTATATCTCTTCATTTGACTATCGATGCTGGAAGATTGCCTTAATGTTGCTTAGGTGTCTTTTGTACCTTCACATGTGAATCCAGAAGTTGGAAAGGCTTATTTGATATTGCTCAGTGATTTTGGAAAGACTTTAGTTAATGAGAAATGCTTCTAATGAGTTTTTGATTTATGAGGTATAAAAGAATGCTAATGCCCTTTGCATTGCTATATACACTTGTTATCCTTCAGTGCTTCTGCTTGTGGGCAATTTGGATATATAATAAGACATTTTGGGTAATAATTATATCTCCAGAATGATGGATAATTATAAGGTTTGAGAGTTCTGAGCCTGCCACATGCTCATGAAGTCAGTTCTATTGGAAAGGTATGGAGCAAGGATTGCTGAACACCTGAAAGAAAATTTTCCAAAATGAATTAAGTTAACCTTGTCGAACTATTGTACCATAAATGTACAGTGCTTTTGTAATCTGAGGTTGTGTGTGTGGATAATCATGCATGGAGGTTCTTTTTGGTCTAGTTCAGTTAATTTCTTCATATTAGAGGTTAGACTAGGTGCTCCTTGTTGAGGTTGCTTTTTCTGTGACTGAAAAGCTAATCCAAAAGCAGTTTGTCTAACTTGGCCTGTATAAAATTGACAATGGAAGATTCAGGAACTCAAATATGCCTCTTTTGGTTTATAAATTTGCGTAAGTTCAATATCAGTGTTTTAATTTTGTGTCTTTTGGTTTTACAAATTTGCTCAAGGCTCCTGGATTTTTGGGTTATAGACTTGCATTATTAGGAAGCATATGGTAAAATGCTACATACTGATTCGTTTAATTCTGTCAGGGTTGGAAGGCAGGTAGTTAATGTTCCTTCATTTTTGGTGAGAGTTGATTCCCAGAAGCACATTGACTTTTCAATCACCAGTCCATTTGGTGGCGGGCGTGCTGGAAGAGTCAAGCGTAAGAACCAGAAGGCAGCTGCAAAGAAAGCTGCTGGTGGTGATGGTGATGAAGAAGATGAAGAGTGAGCCATTTCGTGTTAGATGCCTTCTTTCTTTTACCCTCCAGAAGATAGCCATTACATTTACATCTGACTGCTATTTGGAATTTTGTCTTATTAGATTTTTCAGAATCTAGTTTTGCTTCTTAGTAACGTGGATTATTATTATTGTGGTTATGCTATCGATTCATTCAGTGTGATCCAGGCTTTTCCACCCTACCTTTTCATTTTTTTTAGGTGTATGTCTCGTTGTTTCTGCGTTTCATCTTCAGTTATGGGTCTTTTAACTTTTAAGCGTGCAGCTTGTTTTTCTCGTCCTGAAAGGTGATCAGATATTAGGTATTCCAACTCCCTCTCCCAGGCTTCCCTCCCGCGAAGGAGAAACTTTTTCAGTATTCATCAACAAAAGCAAATCAAGCGAAGCCTGGAATTAGAACTCGAATTCGATTTCTAATGGTGTAGCAATACACTTTTTGAAATAATGGTGAACTAGCAGAAAAGGAATCCTTGAGTAGATAAGTAAGGAGTTTTCTCATGTACGTTCGTATCTGTGTTGAGAGAAAAACGGCTTTTCTGAAAGGGCGCAAGATAAATCCAAGGGACAGTTTTTTGGTTAAATTATGTACTCCATTTATTTATGGGCAATATCTGATAATATATATATATATATATATATATATATATATATATATATATATATATATACAAATGGGTGTGAATGTGTGTCATGTAATTCAATTTTAAATTTAAAATTCACATTTTGCATAAGTAGCATATGTTTATGTTTGTTTCTATAAGAGCGAGTTTAACTGTGAATTAGAGGAGGTTTAAGTTTTTGCATTGCAATAAAAATTTGAAAACCGTACAATAATGCTTTTCTTGGTCTAGAGGTAAATTCTTCCTCCTCTGGTCTCCTTTAACCCAGTTGAGTATGAGATAGGGTAAGTACGAGCTATCACATATAGATATCCTCCATTCACAAAAATAAATAAAAAAATGAATGGCGCGGGTCTTGTTTGAGTCCTATGAGGACGTTGACATGCGATAAATACCCGATGTGGCAACTCACGTTGGTTGGCGTACGGCGATGACTTTGTGATACGATGATATGTGAGTTTAACACGTGTAATGTGAAGACTACAAACTCCTACCCTCCCAGGACCCAGCCCAAAATATAGGCCCATCTCCTACAGATGTCTGCGTCTCTTGAAATTGAGAGAAGAAGTTGAAGCCTAATCCAGCTTAATATTTCACGCAGGCCACTAATGGTCTCTTCTGAGACTCCCAAGTCCTAACCCAAACGGGAAGGGTGTCCAGTCACTGTCCAATACTCTTCCAAGGGTGAATGCATGAGAATTGAGATTAGGCTCGCTGGCCACGATCCCTCGCGCTCTTAATTTCGTGCCACGTGGACTGAGTACTTCCTAATCCTCTCCTTGTCGCGCTGCTAAGTGCTATCCCAAGGGGCACGTGAGAATCGTGATTTACTAATTTCAAAAAATAAAATGGATGGGGCTTGTCTTATTGTACACGTACGTCAAGGAACATCCCAAGGCCCCCTACACATCAAATATATTATGGGGTATCAATATCACACGGTACATAGCCATTAGTGCCTGACTAAATTAATACCTTTTTTTTAACTACTAGTAGTAATATCTAAACAGACCTGGTGCTTAACCGCATGGATCGTTTAGAAAAAAAAAATGCATGGATCAGTGAGTGTCCTCAATTGCAGAAGTTTCTGGAGTTGAAAATAGCTTCTGCTTTTTACTTGAATAAAATGTTTTCGATTTCAGATGCAAGGAGAGCATTTGCAACTGTTAGTGTTTGACAAATATCAAAATCCAAAATTATTAATTTCATCTATTTATGGCTTAATATTTTTTTCACTTTCTAAAATGCACAGGTCTTGTCATTGATATAGACAAAATACTCGAAACCATGTAGTTTTTTATTAGGAATACAAACAAGTCGAACTTGATCGAGTAGTTTAAGAGTTTATTCGATCAAAATTTGAGTTCGAATTCGTATTTGCCTGAATTCGAGTTTGAGTTTGAGCATTTCAAACTATTTGACAAATCGCGCTCAAATTTAATATGTGAAATGAGAAAGATATGGCGGTTAATTGAGCTATTCGAAGTTTACATAGTATTTTTTTTGAATTTTTTATTTATTAAGATGAAGTGTCTATTTTATCTCTTATTTAAAATTATATAAAATATAAATTTATATTTCTTAGATTTGATTAAGCTCAATTAAACTCGTAATAAGTTCGATTGTTGTTGATAAGCATGAGTTCGAGTTCGAATTCAAGTAATGCAAAATAAAAACAAATTCGAACTCAATCCAAACTCTTTGTCTTAAGTCCAGCTTCAAGTACTCCTTTGCTAGTCTTGATAATATCAGTAGTATTAAATTTCCCCATGCGACGCAAACACGTGATGTATGAAGATGCTTTTTTAACCGTCCGAGACACTTGGCCGAGCGAAGGAACATGCAGAGCATAATACTGACCAAAAATCATATGAATAGTAATGGCATCGAGCGGACCATCCTCCGCAAGTAAACACCATCAACACCGCATACACACGCACATGCATCCGAACAACGCCGCTATTTGGTATTCCTCCACCTAACCCACACGTCCCCTCCCTCACACCTAACAGTTAACAGCAGCCTCAGGAGTTCCAGTTTTGTAGTATAATTTTAAATTAGTACATGTAATTTTTGTAACTTCTAATATACTAACAATTTGGATGTGAATTTAAATTGATCAACTTAAACAACTAAATTGAGGATTTTATTAAAATTGTACACGAGTAACAATAAGAATTACACAAATTGCTTCGATTCAACCTTTAAAGCTCCTTCTATTCGAGACATACCCTTCTATCATATATATATATATATATATATATATATATATATATATATATATATATATATATAGGATAATTCTAGAAACCTCCCATAAGATTTTTGATAACTGCACGTGGCTCCCTTAAGGTGTCAAAAATTACACCTACCTCTCTTATCCATTTAAAATGACAATACTAATCTTAATATTTTAATAAAACTCTCTTGTTGCCATGTTTATACAATGGATGGATTTCATAATTTTTTTCTTTTTTTCTTCTTATTCATTTCTCTTATATTTCATTAGAAGTATAGAAGAACTATCAACGTTGTCGCTAAATTTATTTAGATTAAACGTTAAACCAGTAATTTTTTTGATGACTTTTTATATCATCCATTTTTTTTAGCTCTTTTTTTTTGTATCAAAATCAAGAATAAATCAACAATAATTAAAAATAAATGGCCAAAAATCACTACCAAACTATGGTAGTTCCATTACTAAACTACTACATAAACTTTTATTTTTAAAAAATAGTCCATAAACATAAAAAACACAAAATAATACTTTCTTCTCTATCTTAAAAATAATCTATATTCCCAATAAAGCACTATAAAAAATATATATATTTGATGCTCTTTTTTTTTTAAATAATTGTGTCAAATTACTTTACAACTATTTAGAAGAATGAATTGAACTTTATAAGATAAGGGCATATTAAGGTATTCATTAAATTTTTGACCTTATTTTAAGGTTTGGTTACCAAAGTGTCAAATCAAGGGAGGTAAGTGTAATTTTTAAAACTTCAAGTGAACTAAGTGAAATATTTAGAAACCTCAGGGGAGGTTTCAGAAATTATCCCTACATATATAAACACATTAGGTACGTCAGTGTTGCGTAAGATACACTTAAATACACACACACACATATATATATATATATATATATATATCAGAGACTGGAAGAGAAGAAGAAGGCAGGAGCAGGGGTGACATCAGAAGAGCGGCATAGTTTTGTTGCTTGTGAGAGCGTTGCCGTGCATGCCGAATATTTGCTTTTAACTATTTATGCAGTAATATTGATCAGAGTTAAGGACTAGTAAATATATATATTCATGAGAAGAGGATGATGATGGTCAAGAGGACGGTTTGCCGTGTTGGAGGAGAGTTGGTGGACGCAGGTCAGGAGGGCGTGGGTTCATCGTCGGAGGAGATGGACTGTTCGCCTAGATCAGTTCTGCTTCCCATAACCAAAAATAGAATATATAATCATATAGCAGGGAGTCATAGTAGTAGCAGTAGTAGTAGTAATAGGTACGGGACGACCACCACCACCACCACATCCAGAAACAACGTTGGAGACGGATTCAGTTTGCTGCATAGCCAGATAAGGAGGATCAGAGATGAGGATTCCCACATAGGAGAGGACATTCATGCGGATGTGCTTCTTAACCTGTTTGGTTGTTCTGATGATGATAATAATAATAATAATAAGCACGAGGTTGGCGTTGTGATGGAGCTGTCGAAGCGGCCAGCAGCCTTGCCGGCTTCACCTCTCAGTACTGGAAACAATAGTACTTCTGCCGTCCGTCCAGGCTGCTGACTAAATCAAAACTTTAGCTTTATGATGTCTGGTAAGGTTTGTTTTCTTTCCCTGACTTTGGTGCCTGATTTTGTTTCACCCTCCTCTGCCTCATCTTAATCGTTTGTTTTATCTGACAATTTCTTGTTCTTTTCACATAAGATTTTTTTAGACAGAAAACCAAAACCTTGGAGGAATCCGCGGTTTCGCGGGTTGCTTTCACCATCTAATGATCTGGACCAATAGCCTGCTTGAATTTTCAATTGATTAATTAATGAATGTCAGGTTAATCATTACTTTCTAGCTTCCCTTTAACTAATCATCATCAAGAAGGTTTAAATAAAAACTCAATAATCTCTTCTTAACTCCTCCTGAGAAGAGGCCCAACATTTCTTCAAACATCCCCAGCTGCTAGCTAGCTAGCATAATCTTTTTTTCTTGTCTTATCTTGAGTAAATCAATGATGATTTTGTGCTCTTCTATGGAGAATTGACGCATTTCACGGAATTTCGTAGGTTCAATCGATACACTCAGGCGGTTGGTGGTGGAAGGAGAGAGAGAGAGAGAGAGGTGATTGTGTATGTAAATGTAATAGGCAGTAGAGAGGTTATTTACTATCTGTACAGTTTTGGTTTTAAACTGAATGATGCTACTATTGCTATTGTACAGTTTTAAATATTAGTTCTCTGCTTCAATAATTTTGCCGTAAATTTCAATGCACTCCTAATGAAGGAAAGCAAGATTAAGTGAAACGGAAGGCAGTTTCGTCAAATCTTGAGAAAGCGAAAGGCTGCCTGCGGTAACACTCATTTCTTTTTTTGAGTAATGGTGGTAACAAGTAGAGTATTATACCTAATATATATGCTCTGCCAGCAGTGCCCATGCGGGTGCTGGCATTATTGTATTTTCTTCCATCTTTGGATTTGAAATTATTCTGCCACAACCTCAAAATTTTCATCAAAAAAATACACCACTGCTAATAAAAAAAATATACACTCTTGCCACATACATTTTGCAGCAAACGTAACGCTTAAGGAGATATCGAGTCCTTTTTGCTTTTCTACTTATAGCCACCACATTGACATTGAGTGTATGATGCCCGCGGCAGGGCTTCCCCTCTCATTGTTGCAACCAATTCATTCCAACAGCTAGAAGAAGAAGAGCTCAGCGTGTTTCCCATCTTCGCTGTCATAATTAGCTACCTAATTGCAGATACCCAACATTTTGCTTGAAAATTACGGCTGGATCTTCCGAGATCTGCTTTGCTCTTATTCTTCTTATGGGTGTTGAATTATAATCATCTCTTCTTGTACACTTCCGACTCAACAAATATTCATAAAAAACCCAAGTGCAAGTGCAACTTCAACTCTTCTGTCTCCTACTTATGTTGATCTTTTTGCTTGTAAAACTAAAAAAATTTCTCTCCCAGATATAATATGAATTTTCTTTTCTCACCAAATATATGTAACTTTCGTTATATAAATCTCTACGCAAGCTGTTGTTTATTAAGTTCTAAAATTGAAGTAATTGACCCGCGCACTGGCTCGTAAATTCCAAAACCCGTTCTCAAAAATTTCGAGTAAACTCAAGTTTTTTGAGTAAAATGAACACAACTCAAGTTTTTTGAGTAAAATGAACACAACTCAAAAATTGTGGCACCAGTAAACTGTCATTAAAAAGCTTTATGAATTATGTTCTTGAAATCAGCATGTTGAATTGACATAGCTAATATATATATACCGAAATGACTACGATGAACAGAAGAAAGAAGTAAAAAGAACAGGCCAATTACTACTAATCAAGCTCAATAGAAATTCAAGAACAAAACAACAGTGAAACACAGTAAACCAAAATAGAAAGTACCAAATCCAGATTTAAGAATGAGCCAAAATCAACACGGCAATTTGTTCATACCAATGAGAACATTGGTTTTTTAATTGACCCACAAACAAGGAACCAAAAAAAACAAAAAAAAAAACACTAAATCATTTAGCAGCACTCATTAGCACCCCTCAACCACAAACATGAGCTCAAACTTGTGCTCAATCGTCGTACTCATCTTCCTCACCTTCAGCAGACTCCGCCCCAACTTCCTCATAATCCTTCTCCAGAGCAGCCAAGTCTTCCCTAGCCTCAGAAAACTCACCTTCCTCCATACCTTCACCCACGTACCAATGCACAAAAGCACGCTTGGCATACATGAGATCAAACTTATGATCAATCCTAGAGAACACTTCAGCAACGCTGGTGGAGTTGGAGATCATGCACACGGCTCTCTGAACCTTAGCCAAATCTCCACCAGGTACCACAGTCGGAGGCTGGTAGTTGATACCGCATTTGAACCCAGTTGGGCACCAGTCAACAAACTGGATGGTCCTCTTGGTCTTAATGGTGGCCACAGCTGCATTCACGTCCTTAGGCACCACATCGCCTCTGTACATCAGGCAGCAGGCCATGTACTTGCCGTGGCGGGGATCACACTTGACCATCATTGAGGATGGCTCAAATGCAGTGTTGGTGATCTCCGCAACGGAGAGCTGCTCATGATAGGCCTTTTCGGCTGATATCACGGGTGCATAGGAGGAAAGCATGAAGTGGATTCTTGGGTATGGGACCAAGTTAGTTTGGAATTCATTCACATCGACGTTCAAGGCTCCATCAAATCGCAGAGATGCGGTCAATGATGAAATCACCTGAGGTACAACAAGGTTTGTTTCATAAATAAGAAACACGAATTTTGCTTGACAACGACTAATAACGGAGAGTGCAGACCAAGGTCTTTATTTTATTTTAAAATAAGAAAAAGTGAGTACCTGAGAGATGAGGCGGTTAAGGTTGGTGTAGGTGGGCCTCTCAATGTCAAGGGACTTGCGGCAGATGTCATAAATGGCCTCATTGTCGAGGAGAACGGCAACATCGGTGTGCTCCAAAAGGGAGTGAGTAGAGAGAACAGAGTTGTAAGGCTCAACCACAGCGGTGGAGACCTGGGGAGATGGGTAAATGGTGAACCCAAGCTTGGATTTCTTTCCATAATCAACGGAAAGCCTCTCGAGCAACAGAGATCCCAACCCGGATCCGGTACCCCCACCCACGGCGTGGAAGACCAGGAATCCCTGAAGCCCGGTACAGTTATCCGCAAGCTTCCTAATCCTATCCAGGCACAGATCAACGATCTCCTTCCCAACTACATCGTGATTTTACGAACTAACAATTAAGATCCCGAAAATCGTCTAATAACTAAAATAAAATAAGAGCCTAAAACTCAAAACAGATCCAGAGATTGCAGAAATGAAACGATAAAACTAAAACGAGATACGTGTGTTTGACATATATGGCACTAGATATGACGTTACATACTTGTGTAGTGGCCACGGGCGAAGTTGTTGGCGGCGTCTTCTTTGCCGGAGATGAGTTGCTCAGGGTGGAAGAGTTGGCGGTAGGTGCCGGTTCGGACTTCATCGATGACAGTGGGCTCCAGATCGACGAACACGGCACGAGGAACGTGTTTGCCGGCTCCGGTTTCGCTGAAGAAGGTGTTGAAAGCGTCGTCTCCGCCGCCGACGGTGTGGTCGCTCGGCATTTGTCCATCAGGCTATTCCACAACACCCAAAATCAAACCAAAGATGAATCATTTCCTTGAACAAAAATGAGAGAAACAGCAGATCTGAAATATAAGAGGTTAGATAGAAGGCAATTTACCTGGATGCCGTGCTCGAGGCAGTAGAGCTCCCAGCAGGCATTTCCGACCTGGATACCGGCCTGACCAATATGGATGGAGATGCACTCTCTCATTTTCGCGATGTTTTGAGAAATGAATAGGAGATTTTTGGAAGAGAGGGAAAAAGGAGGAATGGAGATACCAGAGGCGTATACAAAGACGTCTCTGGATCGGAAGAGTGAGAGACCTCCGAGATCTGGGAAAGGAGAAGAAGGAGAGGACTTGGGGTCGTGTGGTGAGGCAATGCGGGAGGGAGTTATATATATAGACTGGAGCGAGTAATCCAAGCCCCAATGGCGGGGTAAGATTAGGGCAGCAGGCGAGGGGCAAAACTGAAACAATTTTGTTTGAACGGCTCCAAAATGATTTTGAATTTTGAACTGATTTTCCAGCTGGCGTGGGGGTGTGGCGACGTTTCGGATTGCTTGACGAATTACGACCGTTGCCATCTGCTCTTCCGAGATTTCAGTTTAAACTTCCGGGGCATTTGGGCCTGGGCTACACACGGTTACATGTGAAGGGCTCTGAATTGAGCATGCCAACCTGCGGTGCATTCATAACCAACACCCTATCCAATCTCAAAACCTCCTGAATTGAGCATGCCAACCTGCGAGTCCAGGATCACCTACAGAAGAAAAGTGAAAAATCCTTTTGTCTTGTGCTAATCTGAAGCCCAAAATCTCAGCTCGCTCGAGTCATTGGTACCGTTTGTGCTTCTTTTGCTAGTGTACTTGGACCATTCGGCTGGGAGAAAATCACAAGAGAAGTCTTTGAAGCATTTCCCTACTAGTAGTAGTTTGATCCATAACAAATCCAACATGTCTTTACTACAACTGCATTCACGCTGGACCAGATCCATATAATGGTCCACCCATCTACCTGTAAACTGAATAGTGCAGGAATGGACTGCAGCCCTTTACAACTTCTGATCTGGTCCAAGTTTCCTCTAGAATTGCAGCTGATGATAGCAGGTCTAGTCACATGTGTTAGAATTAACATTACTGAAAAGTTTTGAGTTATAATTTGTTGGTCTTATATATATATATTGTGTTATTTTCCTTTAAATCATGTCTACAGCGGGTGAGCAATCATATCATACTAAGGCAGACAAAAGCGATCTCCGTATCCAAGTGCTATCAAATTGATGATATGAGTTTGGAAGCAAAGCTGGCAAATCCAAATACACCAACGCTACCAGTAATTTAATTACTCTTTTATTATTGTTTATAGAAGCAGATTGTTGTAAGTTGACTGGAAAGTTCGAAACCCCATATACTAAAACTATTTTGTTTGGTTGGTGGTCCAATACTCCAGCATTTTCCGCTCCACGCATCGTCCAGCCCTCCCGCTACAACTTTTGCCTTTCATTGGTGCTGGCTGCTCTTTTAGTTTTCGAGACCTTTTCTTAGTAGTTTTCGTGTTTTTCATTGCCTTGTGGTTCCCTCATGCACAGTTGCACTCTGCCGCATTGATGGGCCTCTACGTAATTCTATTTAAACCGATAATAATAATAAAAAAAAAGGTTCATCGCAGGTGCATTTTAAGCGTGTTGGGATAGAAAATTATTTAAAATATTTATTGTAAATTTTTTATTTTTATAATTTTATATACGTAAGATAAAAAAAATATTTTTTGATATAGATAAAATAATATTTTAAAACAATTAGTATCCAAACATGTTCCCCCTCTTTCCTCCCCATTCCTAAGAAACTAAAAGCAAAGGAAAGAATTTTAGCAATTTGAGAACCATATATATTTCTGGTTGGGGCCAAGGGGAATATATATGTTAGTACTATTTTTCTTCACAATAAATTGCCATTATGGTAAGTGACTTTCAAAGAAGGAAAGAGTGCAAGTAAGAGACTCATTTTCGAACCTTTTCACTTACATTGAAAAACAAAAGAGTGACTTTCAAGATAGGAAATAAGTTTCAATTTTAATTATATCAAT